ATAAATATAAATATGTATTAATTGAATTTATTTTATTTTATTTTATTTTAATTTGATTAAATGAAAATAATAGTAATAATAATAATAAAAATGGTGAAAAAAATAACTGAGGATTTAATTGAAAATAATTTTGGAAAAAATGTGTGAAAATTTGGATTCTAATGGTATTTTTGAAAGAAGAATCGGAAAAACGGGGATCAAATCGCAATTTAGAAAAGTTACGCCACATCAACTGCCTGATCAGCAGCCCCGACCAACCAGGATGCGTCAGGTGACAGAGACGCTGACGTGGGAGGCCACGTGGGGGGAGCCACGTGGGCGATCCGCGTGTGCGCGATCAAACGGCTGAGATCCATTCCCGCGCGCACAGACGACCCAGATCAAAAACGCGCACGGACGGCCCAGATTCACTCCTTATTTAATTGCAATTGGATAGTTCAGATTAAAAGCGATGGACGGTTCAGATCAAAAATAGATGGGTATAAATAACCTCATCCGCACTCAAACCCTAACCATAGCCACTAGAGCCCCTCGCCGGAGAAGACAGCCCAGTCGCCGGGGAGCCGACCGCCGCCACCCGCCGCCGCATCGGAGCAATTTTCGACCGCCAAATGAGGTAAAAAATTCTATCCTTTGCTCATAATTTGATTTCAAACCCACCCATGGCCAAATCGGAGTGAAAGAATCGGTCAATTGGCCAGAAAACGCCGCTGAAGCTCAGCGGCACCGCCGCGGGATGTTTCAGTTTTTGCCTCCAATGAGGCCCTTCCCGATTCCCATTCGATGTGATTTTTCTACTGTTGTGATCACCGTTTCCTCCTCTACAAGTTAACCGTAGCAAAATGCCCAACTGCAACGTGAGCCGGAGGAGCCGCCGCACCGGAGAGCCCCACCGCCGGTGAGTTTCACTTTTCTGTATTTTTTTGGCCCACCGAGGGCCCTAAGTGTGTTTTCTGGTAAGAATCGTTGCAAGTTTGGCTGAATTCATCTAAAAACAGCCAATCCGAGGCGGATCGCCGTCGCTAGCGCCAGCGCCGTCACCGGAGCACGGCGGAGCCGCTGTGCCAGAATTCTGAAATTGGCATAGTGGGCCCTGAGTCTAATTTTTGGATTTATTTGGGACACTTGTAGGTACCGTAAGCGCGTTTCAGTTCCCAAAGAAAAATTCAGAGAACCTAGGGACCGCCCATATGCGTAGTAACCATCTAGTTTTCGGCGTTGAATCAAGTAAGGACCCCTCACCCTAATTCCTATCATAAATGTGAAGTTTGAATAAATAATAATACGGTCTTTTGTACAGGTTAGATAAATGCAATTATGGATTGCTAATGGAGCCCGAAATCGGACATTATTCTCTGTTGATTTATTTTACAGTTTAAAGGCATGACGGTATCTGGTTTTAGAGTTTTAAATGCATGTATTACTGTATTACTTGACTACTGTGTGATTTTGGAATTTAAGATATAATTGTATTACCGGGTACATATTCATTGTTTATGTGATTGTGTTTAATTTGATAACGGAGATTAAGGATAAACAGGAAAGGGATATGATCTAATAAATGGATAAGATGACAGCCTCACTAGATATCGTGGGAGATGGTGGACGGACCGGGTTCAGATGGAACCCTATCGTGAATGTTGTCTCATACCGGACGGAGTATGAAAACTTGGTCATTTGGTGCTCATACCAGACGGGGTATGGGGACGACCTTGGAATTAAGATTGTTAATGAAAATGGTTCACGTGTAGCGGGGACACCCCTATGGATCTCTATGAATACTAGTAGGCTGATAAAAAAGGGACAATTGTTGTTTGATGATTTGAAAATAATATAACGATATGTGCTATGTTGCAGATTATATATGAAATCATGATATTTATAATGTTATTGTTTCCATAGGTTGTTTTTATAAATCTCACTGTGATAAGTGAACGGTAAATAGTTTTATTATTAATAAATGAATTTGTTTAAAATTTGTGCTCTATTGGTTATTTTTTGTTTTTCTACCAATCTTTACTTCTGTGACGATGATATATTGTGATGTCCTTACTGGATTAGTATAGTTTACTCCTTATTTAACCATTTCAGATCATGAGGACCCGGTTCCCGAATCCAATCCGCAAGAAGGTTACGAGTAGACCCTAAATACTTTATAGTTTCCTTTATTTTTTCTATTTTTTGTATTTTTTTTAAAAAATTTATTCAATGATATTTGTTAGTATTTTTGAATTATTATGTAAAGAATATTAATTTTAACATTTATTTTATTTTCGAACTCAAATTATTATATATATTTCTTTTTAAATTTTCAGAACCGTTACAGTGCAACACTGCATATCTTGGTAGGGAGAAGAACCTTTTTAATTTTGGAAAGGAGAAAAGCCAGGATTCTTTGTTAGAGGCAAGGGCAAAATAGTACCGGCAGTTACCAGTTTATTTGGAAGAGACGTCCATTTTGTCTTCTTGTCCGGCCGGACTGCTTTCGTATTGTAGGCCCACTGTTAACATTTGTTAAAATAAGCCGGGACAATAGACTACATAATTAAGAATGCTGCTTAAAGCTATCAGTTGTGCTCTCAGATCTGGAGGTAGGAAACGAGATTTCGGAGAATCAGAGAATTGGAAATCATGGAGGCATGGTGGCTGACAGGGGTTTTGGGTGTTGTGCCTTTAATGATTTGCATACTATGGTGGTGGAACGAGCTTTGGCATGTTTTGCCGCTCAAACGACACTTGGCTTCTAAGCGTGCGAAACTCCCGCCTGGTCACATGGGCTTCCCTTTAATTGGCGAGCTGCTCACTTTCATTTGGTACTTCAAGATTCTGCGCCGACCCGATGATTTCATCAATTCTAAACGAACCAAGTAAAATACCCATCTTCTTCATATGATTCATATGATAATCTTACATCAAAGCATGTGTGTGTGTGTGTATATATATATATATTTTTTTTTTTTTTTGTGCTTCTTTTACCCAAAAATATTAAGATATAATGATTAATCATGTTAAGTATTGTCTGCAATGATCAGATACGGTGATGGAGTTGGGATGTATAGAACATATCTGTTCGGCTCTCCATCGATCATCGCTTGCTCCCCAGCCGTAACGAAGTTTGTGTTCCACTCAAATCTATTTCCCTATAGATTTCCCACTAATGATCTCGTTGGCCCCAATTCTATGCTAGCAGCTAGTGGCGAGCACCACGACAGGGTCAAAGGTTATGTCAGTGCTGCAGTTGCCCACACTAGTTCTCTCAGGAAAATTGTTCTTCATATTCAACCAAGCATCAAGACCTCTCTTCGTTCATGGGCTGACAAGGGTTCTGTGATAGCATTTGATGTTGTCAAGAAGGTCTGTTATTGTTAGAAATTGGGTGGTAAGGCTTTAACCTTCAAATAATGGAAGAATATGTTACTGAGAGTTAATATGTGTCTGCCTGCAGATGGTATTTGAGAGCATTGCTCGAGTTTTTGTCAGCATCGAACCAGGACCCTTTTTGGATGAGATTGGCCAGTACTATGCTTGTTTGCTTAAAGGATTTAAAGCACAGCCATTTAACATTCCAGGAACTACTTACTATCGTGCTGTTCAGGTAACTCAGTTTAATTGATGCATAAAACTTCATGTGAATCATATTTGGACCTGTTAATTGTGTTCATGTTATAATATGTTCTTGTTATTTTTATGCATAGGAGTGTTATTCACATAGGAATTTTGATCTGTATTTACTGTAGATACTGATGTACTCATATTAACTTGGAGAAAGTACTACTGAATGTGGGGCGTTACATGTTTCCTCATGTGCCCAAATAAGATGCATTAAACCAAATTTACTCTTTGCAGTGCCGAAGAAAGCTCATGGAAATATTTAGGCTAAAGTTGGAGAAGAGAAAAGAAAACCAAAAAGGAGATCAGGAAAACAAGGATTTGATGGATGTTCTAATGCAAATTAAGGATGGGGATGGGAAGCAGCTAAGTGACGAAGAGGTGCTTGATAACATAGTGACACTTTTTCTCGGGGGCTTCGAAACTACTGCAACTGTATCAGCCTGGGCTATGTATTACCTTGCCAAGAACCCAGAAATTCTGCAGAGGCTTAGAGTAACAATACTATTCTACTTCATCTCACATTCTGCATCTCATACTAATTTAAGTGACCTGCCACTGTAATTGAAAGAGTATTACTAAATTAAATTTAGTGGATTAATTGCTTAAACGTTTTCTGGTATTATTGAACAAACATTTGTAATAATTTCATATACTTTGTTATTGGGTAATGAATGTTGTAGGTCTTAATTTCAAATTGATTTCCAGGAAGAAAATATGGAATTGAGTTCAACAAAGGAGGGAGAATTCATTACGTTGGATGAAATTTCACAAATGAAGTATACAAAGAAGGTAATGGTGGCATACTGGATACATTGCAAATATGCTTCTGCGTTTATGTGATAACTAACTCTTGCACTAGTTCAATGTTCAATATGGACAGTGAAAACATGTACAAGGCTTCATTGAGCTGCAATAGCGTTGCTTTGTATATGCAAATTTCTATACATGAGCATTCACTTTTCAAGATTCAATATTGCACATTGTTTATTTTACTTAACACCAACTAAATGTTATTCAGGTGGTGGATGAAACAATAAGAATGGCAAACATTTCGTGCTTCATTTTCAGATCTGGTGATTATGATGTTGAATATGAAGGTCGTCTTCCTGTACAACATATAATAGTTGTTTCTTGTTGATATATATGTATTTGTATGTGTGTGTCTATACTTGTTATTTAGAAGCAGAAACAGTTTTCTAATTTTGAAATTTTGAAAGTGTCTTTCAAATATTATAGGTTATTTAATACCAAAAGGTTGGAGGGTACTTCAATGGGTCAGATATCCTCATGCAAACTCAGAATACTTTGAAGATCCAATGTGCTTTAATCCAGACAGGTGGAATGTAAGTAGGCTGCTTTCTCTCATTCTCGGAGTCATTAATTAGCTATAAATTCTTTATTGATGATGAACTTACTAATAGTTTTTTATTAATATTATTATTGATTCCTTAGCAATCAACAAAACCAGAGGCGTATCAAGCTTTTGGTGCGGGATCAATGAGATGTGTTGGCAGCAAACTTGCTCAAACACAACTTGCAGTCTTTCTTCACCATTTGGTTATGGGCTATAAGTAAGAATGATATTCTCTTGTTATAAAGTTTTAAATCATTCTTGAATTCGAATACGTAAATGTGTTTTCTTTTTTATGATTGTAATTTAATGCTTTTGTACTGATGATTCATTTTACTGATAATAGATGACATGTGAAATTGCAGGTGGGAATTAATTAACCCAGATTCAAAGATAACCTACCTGCCTCATCCAAAGCCAAATGATGGTTGCAAAATTGTAATTAGTCGATCTAACTGTCTCGAGTAAGTGCCCTTCTGTTCTTCTTCTTCTCTACGGTTATTTGTGTGATATAAATTCCACAAAGTTTCTCCAACAAAATAAGCCCTCCCTATAATTATGCTTTGCTGTGATGGAGGGCAAGTAGCAAAATCCCTTCCCCAGATTCCCAGCTTTATTCCTCAACAAACCAACAGATAGTGTTTGGTAACATTCAAAATACTAACATGTTATTATTTGAGAGAATTGAATAGAAGTAAAAAATAAATAAATTTGATGTGTGTGGATTTGGATATTCTGTTTTTTGTTTATTGCTCATTGAATGTGACAAATGTGTTTGATTATATATCTAAATATTATGATGTTGAATGCTTCTTTTCTTTTACCTTTCATTATTTGTATAAAATTTAGTTTTGAAGTATAGAACTGGTTTTAGTTAGTAGTTTAATTTTTTAAAATATATAAAGGAGTTGAATAAATTTAACTGTAATAATTGAAATTATTATATTTAACAAATAATTTGAAAGAAAACAAAGACTGACGAATCCTTCAAGACCCAAGCGGCATCCTCAAGAATCTGAACCTGAATATTTAGATTCATTCGAATACGACAAATTCTATCCGATCGTAATAATAAAACCTAAGGTTTTAGTTTTTTGGTTTTAGATTGCCTTCCCCGAACTTTCTTAAATTTTCAGTGCTGGTTTTCATTCTCAAGCTGCATAAGTTCGAGTAAAATTATATATTGGACCTACATGGGGTTAAGACAGGTACAAATTTGTATATTAAAAAAATTGGTACGCAAACAAAATAGTTTGATTGTTTGGATTTCAATACCTACTCGTATTAATAGTTTAGTACATTTTTTGTTACGTACCAATGAAATATGAATATGTTGTAACACAACAACCCTTGAGAATTTTAATTTCGAGATTGTGGCATTTGGATTATGGAGATGATGATTTCGTACTTATATTATGCCTCAAACATGGTGATAATAAGATTCCAACTCAAGTTATCAAATTCTATAAAATATATTATCTTATAAACTTTAAAGTCTACTATATAATAAACAAATAAATTCAAACCAAATTTTTCTGAAGTCTTGAACTGATAAAAAAAGAGCCAAACTTTTCTTTATATTATCTCTCAAAAGACCTCATTATGCATGCATAAATGCATAGTTTATATATATACCTATATATGCATAAATTTGTTCTTACTTAGCAAACTTGCAAGAGTTATCGAAACAAGTTCTTTTGCTCATTACTGAGCAAACTTGTACATATCTCTCCAACCAAGCCTGAGGAGTGATGTTTGAGAGAAAGTAATTTCTTGAGGCTGCAAGCTTAGGAACTTCGACAAGTCCTTGCGAAAATATTTCTTATGCATAACCAGAAATGTATCAAGTCGTGACAAAGAGGAACTAAGATATACGTGTTGAATTTTTTTTAATTTGTAGATTTAATTTGAGTCATATTATACGTATCAAGTTATCAATTTAATGGATTCGTTTAAAAGTGATCAAATGCGGTTAAATAATATTGAATATTAATGCATCGTATTTAAGTATGAACTTATAATGTGTAAATATTATTTTTGTAGTATTCTCATTTTATGATAAATGAAATGAAAATTGTAAAAATTTATCGATATAAAAAACGGTTACGGTTTCCAAATCACACAGTCGATATTTTATTTTTTTAAAATCTCGTCATCAGAAAAAATTAATTTTTAAGGCATCGTGTTGATTCAAAAGATTTTAGTGTCGAACGCGAATAATTCTTCCATGATGGATTCAAATACACTTCTGTTTATATTTTTCATTAATTTAGTACGAAATTACGTATTTAGATTTATAAATTTACTGATTTAAAAAATATTTTTATTCTAATAATACGTTTTTAATATGACTTGTTATATGATAAACTCCAATTTACTACTTGTAACCTCTAATATATTAATTAAATATATTTTATATATTGAAAATCAAGTATTATAAGTTAATTACAGTATTATTAATATACTAACAAATTTTATATTTTTAATGAAAATTGAACTCGTAAACTTAAAAAAAAAATAATCGAAACTCTTAATCACAATACTAAAAGTGTTGATAGTTTATAAATGATAGATTTTGTTTTTTTAGTATGACAGATCATGCAAGATGAAATTATCCTCTGTAAACTTTAAAAATTATTAACTTTAAAAATAAAAAATGAAACTGAAAATTACTTAATGAATGAAAGGAAAAGACAGTATTGTCCTTTCAGGTTCCTCGTCTTCCCGCGTAATCGTACGTGTTAACGGCCACTCTGTCCACCAGCTTCCCCATTAATGTCATCTTCAACCTCAACGACCTCGCTCACCAGAATCGATCGTTTTCATCATGCTCGTTCGCTGGAATTTCCCTCTCTACTCCGGACGTTCTGCTCCTAAGATGTCCTGTCTTCGTGTAGATCTTCGTTTGGAGAAGAACGTGTTAAATTTTGAAAAGGATAAAAGCAGGGATCCTTTGTAAGAGGCAAGGGCAAAATAGTACCGGCTGTTACCAGGTTCTTTGAAAAAGACCGTCCATCTATTTCTCTCCTTGTCCAGATTGCAGGACCACTGTCAACATCCACTAAAATAGCCGAGACGATAGACTTCATAACTAAAAATGTTACTTAAAAGCTATCAGTTGTGCTCTCAGATCTGGATGTAGGAAACGAGATTTCAGAGAATCAGAGATATGGAAATCATGGAGGCATGGTGGGTGGCAGGGGTTTTGGGTGCAGTGCCTTTAATGATTTGGATACTTTGGTGGTGGAACGAGCTTTGGCATGTTTTGCCGCTCAAACGACACTTGGCTTCTAAGCGTGCGAAACTCCCGCCTGGTCACATGGGCTTCCCTTTAATCGGCGAGCTGCTCACTTTCATTTGGTACTTCAAGATTCTGCGCCGACCCGATGATTTCATCAATTCTAAACGAGCCAAGTAAAATATCCATCTTCTTCATATGATTCATATGCTAATCTTACATCAAAGCATGTGTGTGTATATATATACATATATATATTTATCTTCCCGTTATGCTTCTTTTTCCCAAAAATGTTGAATTATAATGATTAATAATATTAAGTAGCGTCTGCAATGATCAGATACGGTGATGGAGTTGGGATGTATAGAACATATCTCTTCCGCTGTCCATCAATCATTGCTTGCTCCCCAGCCGTAATGAAGTTTTTTTTCCACTCAAATCTATTTCCTTATAGACTTCCCACTAATGATCTCGTTGGCCCCAATTCTATGCTAGCAGCTACTGGCGAGCACCACGCCAGGATCAAAGGTTATGTCAGTGCTGCAGTTGCCCACACTAGTTCTCTCAGGCAAATTGTTCTTCATGTTCAACCAGGTATCAAGGCCTCTCTTCGTTCATGGGCTGAGAAGGGTTCTGTGATAGCATTTGATGTAGCCAAGAAGGTATGTTATTAGTAGAAATTGGGTGGTAAGGCTTTAACCTTAAAATAATGGAAGCACGTGTTACTGAGAGGTATTTATCTGTGTCCCGCAGATGGTATTTGAGAGCATCGCCCGTGTTTTCGTCAGCATCGAACCAGGACCCCTTTTGGATGAGATTGGCCAGTACTATGCTCTTTTGCTTAAAGGGATAAAAGCACAGCCATTTAACATTCCAGGAACTACTTACTATCGCGGTATTCAGGTAACACAGTTTAATTGATACATAAAACTTTCATGAATCATATTTGGACCTGTTAATTGTGTTCATGTTATAATATATTCTTGTTAGCTTTTTGCATAGGAGTGTTTACAAGGAGAAAGTATTACTGAATGTGGCGTTACATGTTCCCTTATGTGCCCGAGTAAGATGCATTAAACCAATTTTACTCTTTGCAGTGCCGAAGAAAGCTCATGGAAATATTTAAACTAAAGTTGGAGAAGAGAAAAGAAAACCAAAAACGAGATCAGGAAAACAAGGATTTGATGGATGTTCTAATGCAAACTAAGGATGGGGATGGGAAGCAGCTAAGTGATGAAGAGGTGCTTGATAACATAGTGTCACTTTTTCTCGGAGGCTTCGACAGTACTTCAAATGTTTCAGGCTGGGCTATGTATTACCTTGCCAAGAACCCAGAAATTCTGCGGAGGCTTAGAGTAACAATACTATTCTACTTCATCTCACATTCTGCTGCTCGTGCTAATTTAAGTGACTTGCTACTATAAATTGGAAGCACATTGCTATAACTGATTTTGTGGATTAATTGCTTAAACATTTTCTGGTAGCCTTGGACAAGCATTTGTAATAATTTCATATACTTCAGTATTGTGTAATGAAATGTCGTAGGTCCTAATTTCAAATTGGTTTCCAGGAGGAGAATACGGAGTTAAGTTCAATAAAGGAGGGAGAACTCATTACATTGGATGAAATTTCACAAATGAAATATACAAAGAAGGTAATGGTGGTATATTGGGTATATTGCAAAAAGCTTCTGCTTAGAGTCATAACTAACTCTTGCAATAGTTCAATGTTCAATCAGCAAATATGGACAGTGAAAATATGTACAAGGCTTCATTGAGCTGCAATAGGCTGCTTTGGATATGCAAATTTCTACATGCGATCATTCACTTTTCAAGATTCAAATTTCCACATTGTGTGTTTAAACATAACAGCAACTACATGTTATTCAGGTGGTGGATGAAGCAATAAGAATGGCAAACATGACAACCCTTGCTTTCAGATCTAGTGATTATGATGTCGAATACGAAGGTCCTCTTCCATATATGTTGTTTCTTATCAGTACTTCAATGTTATTCAGAAGTAGAAAGGGTTTTCTGATTTTGAAAAAACTGAAAGGATCTGTCAAATGTTTAGGCTATTTTATACCAAAAGGTTGGAAGGTACTTATATGGATTCGATATCTTCATACAAACTCAGAATACTTTGAAGATCCAATGTGCTTTAATCCGGACAGGTGGAACGTAAGTAGGCTGCTTTCTCTCATTCTTGGAGGATTAATTAGGTATAAGTTATTTATTTATGATGAACTTACTAATAGTTTCTCATTATTACTCTTATGATTATGATTGGGCATAAACTTCTGTCTTAGCAATCAACAAAACCAGAGGCATACCAAGTTTTTGGTGCGGGATCAATGAGATGTGTTGGCAGCAAACTTGCTCAAACACTACTTGCAGTCTTTCTTCACCATTTGGTTTTGGGCTATGAGTAAGAATGATATTCTCTTGTTATAAAGTCTTAAATCATTCTTGAATATGTTTCCTTTGTGTGATAATAACTGTGATGCTTTTAATACAGGATGATTTGTTTCACTGATGGTAGATTACATATGAAATTGCAGGTGGGAATTAATTAACCCAGATTCAAAGATAACCTACTTGCCTCAACCAAAGCCAGATGATGGTTGCAAAATTGCAATTAGTCGAATCTAACAGCGTCGTGTAAGTGTTCTTGTTCTTGTTCTTGTTCTTTTTTATCTGCGGTTATGTGTGCGATATAAATTCCACAAAGTTTGTATTGTAAATTTTCTTCTCCAACAAAACAAGCTTTTGTTGTAATTTTGCTTTGCTGTGATGGAGGAAAAGTAGCAAAATCCCTTCTCTAGATTCCCAAAACCATCAAAGTTATGTGTTTAATATGTATGGATTGTAATTTTGATTATATATAATAAGTCTTACCCTTTTATAATTTGTATAAAATTTAGTTTCAAAGGATAAAACTGGTTTAATTTTAAAAAATATATATAATACATATAAAGGAGTGTAATAATTGAAATTTTCTTTTGGCAGCATTCAAAAGGATGTATGAGAATCTGAATTTGAAAGCGACGTGATCTAAATCTAACAACTTAACCAGTCCCCACCCCAACACTAATTGGCATCAGATTGTTGGATTGTTTGGAGTTTATAAATGTTTTACTCTTTGTACTTTTGTTGCTCTACATGCCTCTTTTGGACTACTAATTTTCATTTAAAAAATATGAAAGAATAATGGATTTTAATTAATCATTGTACGTAAAAAAAGTTAATTAAGTGTATTTTAAAATTTAATTCATTAAATAAATACGAACGAAAATAAATTATTATTTTTAATTTTATGATATGTTAAATTAAAAATAATAAATTTAATAGACAAGTTAATTATGATTTGTTAAATTAATATTTATTTTATTATGATATCATAAAAATAAAAAATTTAAAATATTACATGTTATTAATAGACTAATATGCGTCAGCCAACTAGACAAGTAGGGCCCCACAAGATCAAATGGGTAAGTCTTCCCTCGATCGACACGTGTCCATTAGATGATGAGAAGCTGATTTGATGGACTCACGAGTCAGAAGAAGGGTTTGGTTCCCGAGACAAGTGGAGCACTTGGCACAGTCTCAGGCTTTACCTTTTATTTGTGGTCATCCTCTCATTATCGTGCCTCTTCCCTCCATCAATTAGTTTTTTTTTTTTTTTTAATTTATTTATTTTAAGATAAATACGTAAAGAATAATATAATTTTCAGTCTTATATATTCCCAAAATTTATTATTATTATTTAATAATTTAATTATTATTATTATTAATTTACCCTACAAATAATTCATTCTTTTAAAGGTTAGGTTATTAACTTAATTTAATCCGAAATTATGTCGAACAACAAGATTAGCATTTTCTTTCCCCCACAATTTGTGATGGCAAAATGGACTTCAAGTGTGTATGTACATTGAGGTACAAGATAATGCTGCCTTCAGAACGCAATAATTAATTAATTATTAGTAAATGAGCACTAATTATAATTAATAATTTAATATTGTTATTATAATAATAAAATGGGTGCAAACTTTAAATTCTTTGTTCAATTTCAATTCACGATCGTTGGAAATGCAAAGTTAGGCAAGTAGCAGCTAGGCTAACAAAACAGTCCTGTCAATGGCACCCACTAACACATTCATGAAAATTAGGCTTTATCTCATTTATGGATAAAATAAAAAATAAAAAAAAAGTCAAAATGCTACCTCTATATATATATATATATATATATATGTGCACATTATCATCATAATAAATTTGAATTTATCTTGAACTACCATGACAAGTAATATCATATTATATTATATTATATTATATTACATGTGTATGAAAAATTGATAATCAATTTGAAGAGTAGAACCAACCCATTTTTGGTAAAAGATAAATTGATAATGCACTTCATCAATTATGGTATGTTTACATGTAAAGAAAAGGTAGAGAGGGAAGAATGAGTGATGGAAAATTGGCTTTAAAAGCAGGCCAACTTAACCCACTAATCTCCATACACAATTAGGTCTTGACAACATGGATGTGGAGAAGGCTTTTCACATGGCTGCAGGAGTTGGCAAGACCAGCTATGCCAGTAACTCTACCCTCCAGGTTCTAATTCTACACTTCCTCATCATTTTTCTATCATATACACCTACTTCCACAAATATAAACATATGTATATGTATGTGGGTGTGTGTTTTTACAGAAGAAGGCATCGGACATGGTGAAGGACATAACGATAGAGACAATACAAGAACTATACACTGCAACAGCTCCAAAAAGCTTAGGCATAGCTGATCTGGGCTGTTCCTCTGGACCAAATACACTGTCAATTATCAAAGATTTGGTGGCCGCCATTGAAGAGACTTGCAGTAGCTTGAGTCCAGTCCCAGAATTCAGAGTTTACCTTAATGATCTACCCAGCAATGATTTCAACTCCATATTTAAGGCCTTGCCTGACTTTTACAGAGACCTTAAGGAACAAAAAAATGGAGGGTATTGTCCCTCTATATTCATTGCAGGATACCCTGGTTCTTTCTACGGAAGACTCTTCCCCAACAATAGTCTGCACTTTGTCCACTCATCTTACAGTTTGCACTGGCTCTCCAAGGTCAGACTCTTCAATTAATTAGGGTCTTTTTTAATTGATTCAACAGTTTTAATTAATTTAACACAAAAGTTTTTTGGTCATTTAATTAGAGTAGGAAAAAGGACCAAACACAACAGGAATTTGATGCTGAAATTTGTGACAATACAGAAAAAGTTTTATTGACAAGTCACATTCATGATTTTAACTAAAGCTAAGAGTAATAAAATAGGTTTTTGTCATGTCAATAAAAGTTTTTTTAATAAAAAAGAATAATAATAATTCATTAACATATTAGTAAAATTATTAGTAATTAAATTAGATTTTAATTTTTTTTTTTAAATATTTTATAACGAATTAATTTTTTTAATTAAAAAAATCACCACGAATTAATACACTAATTAACTTTGTAATTATGAAAAAGCATTGGACTTATAATTTTTTTGTTGTAAAAATGCCCACTTTAAGTTATGCAATATTTTTTGTGAGGTGGGTTTTTATTTATTTATTTATTTATTTATTTATCACATAGTGCGGTAGGCATGTTGAAGTACATATAGTACCATATGTTAGCATGTGAAAATGCATGGGCAAATTAAGCAGGTTCCTCCGGGCATTTATGACGAGCAAGGAAGGTCCATAAACAAAGACAACATTTACATTTCTGAAACCAGTCCTGAAGCTGTATCTCATGCTTATTCCAACCAGTTCCATCTAGACTTTTCACTCTTTCTTCAATCAAGATCTCAAGAGGTCGTGGTTGGAGGAAAAATGGTGATCATTTTACTTGGCAGAGCAGGCCCTCCTCACGTCGATCGGGGAAACTCGTTCTTTTGGAAACTTTTATCCCAATCGCTCGCCAATTTAGTCTCTCGGGTACATACTAAATTATTTTCTATCAACTTACTTTTGAAAGCTAAAAATAAAGTTCATTGTAATAAGAATATTTGTATGTATACATAGGGAGAGACCCAACAGGAGAAATTGGATTCATATGAGGTGCATTTTTATGCACCAACTAAAGAAGAGATTGAAGAAGAGGTGAGACGACAAGGGTCGTTCGAATTAGATCGAATAAAAATGTTCGAGATAGAGAGAGATACTACAAGTATGGAAATGAGCTATGGCACCGTGGTGGCTACTACAGTTAGAGCTGTACAAGAATCAATGATTGGAGATCATTTTGGAGAGGCAATTTTAGATGTTTTATTTGAGAATTATGGAAGATTGGTGGATGAGGAAATGGGTAAGGAAGAAATCAAACCCATGACTTTTCTTCTTGTCCTTACAAAGAAGTATATATGAACAAATGTACTCCATTGAAAGAATCTTAGAGGAAATCTAAACTCATATTTTTAAAAATAAATAAATAAATAAATAATACTTTTGGTGTCAAATTAAATCTTGAATGTAAAAAAAGAAATTAAACCCATTAAATAATCACAATTTTTTTTTAGGGCATTGGTCTATTTACAATTGGATTAGGCCAAGTTTATATATTGAGTGTTCAATAAATTGAATCGGACTAAGTACCTCCAAGTAAAATTCATGTATTTAAAGGAAGCCCAAAGGCCCTTTTGGTAATCTGACAAAGTTTTGTTGTCCAAAATTTTTGTAATTATGGACTTGGATCCTTTTTATTTAATGGACCTAACAAAGAAGATTAAGTAAATATTTATTATAAATATTTTTAACTAAAAATTATTTGGTATTTATCAGAAATAATTATAGAATGTAGTGTTACTTAAAAATATATATATATATATATATAAATTGTGTATTTGGTAAAATTGAGTTTTGAAAATTATAAATTGTAACTTTTCAGGAAAAGCCATAATTATTTTTTAATATAATTTTTGGTCTTAATATCTATCAAATTAGCTTTTTTTTTTTTTTTTTCCACAAATCTAAACAAATTTTACTCGTTAATTTGATTAGTAGAAATTTGTGGGTTTAAATCACACTAAATTTCTAAATGTTTATAATTGACTTATTAAAAAATTACTTAATTTCATATTTGAGAAAATGGTTTAGGATGTAAATTGAGAATCGGTCCCTCTAGAAAAACATTTACTCAATTCACAAGAAATGGTAATATTCTTATTTTTAAATGGACCCCAAAAACTCCTTTTTGGTGTACTTTTTGTTTTGTGTGTGGGTATTCATTCTTCTTGTCCCTTGGTGCAATTATTATCATCAAGACATGTCATTGTTCCTCACTAACAAACACACATTTCTTTCTTTCTTTCTTTTAGTCTCTCAATTCATAATACACTTACAATATAATAAATTTTTTATTTTTTATAAAATTTAATCATTAAATTAATATATTAATATTAATATAATCACCCAATTTAAATATTATACTCAATAACTATTGTCTTATAAATATAATTTTATAACTTTATAATAAAATTTGAACTCTTAATTTTTAAATAAAAAAAATTAACCGCTAAACAATCATAATTTTAATTCTAAAATATAAATCGTTATAATATATTATAATCCAACAATAATAAAAACATGAATGAATGTATATAAAAAAATATATATATTTTTAGAATTATTTAAAAATTATAAATACTTTTAACAATAACTATCCGAATTCAGAAATACAATTTTTTTTAAAAAAAAAAAAACCCTAAAATAGTTTTACCCTAAAGATCTATGTACCATGTATGTATTGTATGGTACACAGCATTTATCCATTATATAGATTTGTATATATAACTGTAGCAAAGCTACGGTGCGACAAAGCTCATACAAGGACAAAAACTTTATATATATATATATATATATATATATATATATATATATGAAGTTATGGCAGGTAGTGTAGATGAGTAAATAAAGAGTCGAATTTGTGTCCTACAACCTGGCATTTGTTTGTCACCTTGGAGAATTATGTCTTCTTGTTCCTTCACTACATTTTTATCATCATTTATGTGTATATATGTATATGTATCTGCCATTTTGAAAAGCATCAACCCATAACGACTTTAAGTTTGGGTGTCACGGATACTGCAATTGCTTTGAGTCAATCATTAAGTTTTCTCGTCAGCCAAACAGAAAATTTTAACTTCAAACTCAACTCCATTTCTTAAAGTGCATAATTATTGCTTAATAAAAATGAAAAAACGTAATGATGAGTTTAATCATTAAACTGTTGGTAGGAGTTAATTTAAATCATATTATGAAAAGTAAAAGAATCGATTTTGAGATTAAATTAAGAACAATTATTATGTTGACAAGTTTCATAATTTTATAAACATATGTGTGCATATATATATATATATTAATTGTAATAAAGCCATGTTTGGCGACAAAAGAAGATAATTAAATTAACGCACTATTTTATGACTTTAATATTCATGACAAATCCACTTTAGATGGGCTACCACACTATAATCATTACATCTACCATGATTTTACTCTTTTGGTGGCCAAAGTTTCTTAAAGTTGAAAACCTATATATATATATATATATATATATATATACATATAGAGAGAGGGAGAAGGGATAAAAAAAAATAAAATTTCTGATTATATTATCTTAAGATATTTATTGGTACTTTTATAATTTTAATTGTTACACTCTAAAAACATATTTTGTAACCGCCCCGAACAAATTTTGTTATACTCTAAAGATAATATATACATATTGAAAGAAAATAAATTATAAATTAAATATAAAAATAAAATAATAGCATTTAGCACTTATATTTTTTATATAATAATTTAAAATAACTAATAAAATTAAAAGAATGACTCTTATAAAAGAATAACTAATAATCAAATAAATAAATAGGAAATAAACAACTGAACATCCTATTCGCAATCCTCTTATGAATCGAAATCTGAATCTTGGTCATCTTAATTTGAAATAGTTAATAAAAGAATGAGGTACATTAGATCAGCAAGAGTGTCACACTACTCACCAATACATAAATTAATATTGATAAAAATCATGAAAATAATTAATAAAGCTCTTAATTTAAGTAAATTCATTTATCATAAGTAAAATCATTTATTTTACACTTACCATATCGAAATTTTCAAAACTGACCTATAGAGCCAATAGCACAAACAATATTATAATCTAATATCCAATTAACCAGAACAACCTTTCCTTTTTACCTGCCTACTAGTATCCATGGGAGTTCATAGGGATGTCCTCATTACGCGTGAACTATTATTCAACATTTTTAATGAACCAGCCGTTCTCACACCCCGTCCGGTATGAGAGCTAAAAATATCATCCCTCAATACCCCGTCCGACATAAGAGTGAAACGGGTCGTCACCACACTCCGTTCGATATGAGCACCAAAATACCAATCCTCCATACCCCGTCCA